GGTGTGTCCAAGTTGTTGTTAAGCCCCTAATCAGGGAAGGTCTTAATGTCTCAATCCTTATGTGTCTTAGAGATACTAGGCACAATGACTTCCACGACTCCCTTATAGGAACCGTTGAAACAAGTTTAGGACATGGTCCTGTTTACTTCAATTGTTTCCCAAATAAAACTGTGAGTCTTTTAGATAGAAATGTCTTAGATTCATTGTTTTTAAATATTAGACTGCATGGGTTAAACATGAAAGAAGGTTATATCCCTGCAACCCTCCTATACAGAATCCAATACAAAGTCATGAACACTTGTAACTCAAGGGTTCTTCTTAAAACAAATGATAGGGAAACCACCTTGTTTGTCATAGACATGACAAAAGCCAATGTTGTTGTTCCCAAACTCATAAAATGGGATGAAGTAGAACTTCCTACAGCTTGGCAACTTGAAAGAGCAACACCAACCCTACCCAGACAAGCCCCTGAATTCCAAGAAATTAGGCAGTCTAAGGCTGGTAAGGTAGAAATCATTTTCGATAGGAGAAATTCTTTTTCCTCAAGAACCGAAGCTACTAGATCTGAATACACTTCTGCTAGAAGATCCTTTTCAGTAGCATCTAGTACAACCACTATTCCTAGAATAATTGTTCCTAATACAAACCTTCGAGGAATAGACGATGTGTTGATTTGTGAAGGATTTGTAGTAGGTTTCTGGCAAGTCTTGATCAAGTAATACAATCCATCAACTTCTTTAGCAAAACCAATCATCCTCACAGACTTCGGATCCTATATGAGACAAGCATTAGGCAAGAAAGTAATTGTACAATGTAGAGAGGAGATTAGTTTAGACACAGAAATGATGTTTAAGGAAAAATCTGGGAGATATAAAACCTGTGTTAAAATTAGGTGAGGATTTAAAAGGACCTTACCAGAATGTGTTGCTAGAACTGTGTTACCATTTGGAAGTTTTACTGATATAGATTTTGATTTCAATGGTTCTAAGAAGGTGAACAAGGATTTATTGGAGCAAATGTGGTCTGTTGCACCCGAATCTAATATCCAGGTGCATGAGGTTTTGGAATCGGCTAAACAAATCAGAGAAGTTGGTTTACCTGAGTTTAGAGTCAGATTGGAAATTGGAGTAGTGGTTAAAGCTGCAACCTGATTGCTTCCTGAAGAACTAGCAGGGTTAGAAGACTGGATAAGGGCCATGAGAGCCTTATACTGCTCTGGTGAGAACTGGGAATGCTGAGGCATATCTGAGTCTCTATTTGATACTGCATCATCTCCACTTCCTTCCGGTGATCCAGACATCACGCTATTTGTGTTGCTGTATCCATTTCCTTTTCCTTTGAAATTGTTGGGATATCCATGCTTTTTGTAACAAGTGTCTACTGTATGCCCTGTCTTGCCACAAAAACTGCAGAGCTTAAAATTGCCTTTATTACCAAATCCGTAAGACTTAAATCCTCCTTTTCCTCTGCCAAAAGATGTTCTCCCTTCCATAGCACCAACAAATGTTTGTTCCTCAACATTATTGTTGCTGCCAATTCTTCTTTCATGTTGTAAAACTAAGGATAAAGCCTTATTAACATTTGGAAATGGTTCCATCATTAGGATTTGTGTCCTGACTACATCAAATTCTTCATTCAGCCCACTCAAAAACTTCATGATGCAATCTTCTTCCTTGAAAAGCCTACCATTCTTGCTAGCAACACATACACATTTCATATGACAAACACAATCTGGGAGAGGTCTATAATTGTCTAATTCATCCCATAATGTAGTCATTTCTATAAAGTAGTGTGCAACAGAGTTAGTACCTTGTTTCATTGCCATCAACTCTTCCTGTAACTCGAAAATCCTTACTCTATCTCCTTGAGAGAATCTGTCCTTTAGAAGCTTCCAGGCTGTAGTTGCCACTTCAACATATTCGATGCTTTGAGAAAGAATTGGATCTACAGAATTCAGGATCCAAGAGAGTACCAAATTATTGCATCTCTCCCAAGCATCGAAACTTGGATCAAAGGTAGAAGTTGCCGGTAAAGAACCATTTACGAACTTAAACTTATTTTTGGAAATTAATGACCGCTTCATAGCCCTGGACCAGCTATGATAGTTCTTCACAGTAAGCAATGGTGAGACCAAAGGTGTTGAGGGATGTTCTCCTGGATGAATGTAATATTCACTGAGGGGATTCAAAGCCGGGTCCGAAGGTGGAGATGAAGACGCTCCTCCACTACCTGAACCACCACCTCTCGCCATGGAAACGATTGAAACCTACAGAGCTCTTGAACTTCAAGAGCTCTGATACCATAACAGTAAATGCACCATAGAAGGAAGGGAATAATCTGTATATTATTCACTCTTGTTAAATGATACAAAACGAAAGGGTCTATATAGCCCACGTATGAAGCAGAAGGCAACAAAGTAGAGGAATGAAAAACGTGCAGCACTAGAAACAGAAAAGGAAAAATAGAATCTAGTTTGTTCCCCGAGAGAGAAAGAAAAGATCCACGATTGAGCATGACTCCATTGAGCATGACTGCATCATGCATGCAATAACTCATCACCATCATTTAAGCTCTATGATAATAAGAGAAAAAAATAATAAGGGAAGAAAATAAAAACATAAATGAATTGAGTTTCTCTCTTATGTTAAAATCAACTTATGCTCTTAACTTTGGTATAAACTCTCTTTTAACTTCTGCAAAGGCAGAGAAACTCAAGTCATTACCTTAATTTTTTTTTTGTCTAAGTACGTAGGAGAAGTTTATCAAAATAGGTTCTTTGTAAAATGAATTGAACTTCTGCCCAAAGCTACATACAACTTCTGCACTTCAGCTTTTGGAGAAGTTAGACAGGAGAGTTTTTATAAAAGTCAAGTGCAAAAGTTAATTTTTAATTCATTTTAACCTGTTATTCTTCCCTCCTATAAATTCTTATGGAAAAGTTTATTCAAGCAAAATCTTGGTTAGTTACTAGTTAGTTAGATTCAACTTTAATCTCTGAGTGTGACCTGTACCTCTTAACACAGGTTGTTCAGAGAAGGATACGAGGTGAACCAGTTTGTTTTCACGACTCTTCTCAAGTTGCTGGTGAGCATGGATTTGGCTGACGCATGTTGGAGTGTGCATGCTTATGTTTATAAGCTTGGTCATCATGCTGATGCGTATGTTGGGACTGCGCTTATTGATGCCTATTCTGTCTGTGGAAATGTTGACGCTGCGCGTCAAATTTTTGATGGAATTTGTTGTAAGGACATGGTGTCTTGGACTGGGATGGTGGCTTGCTATACTGAGAATTACTGCCATGAGGATTCATTGCTACTTTTCTGCCAGATGAGGGTTACAGGGCTTAAACCGAACCATTTTACCATTTCTGCTGCACTGAAGTCCTGTCTTGGTCTAGAATCATTTGAGGTTGGGAAAAGTGTTCATGGATGTGCTTTGAAAGAGTG